AGGGTGGGACTTGCGGAAATACCCATCTTTTATATGATTGGGGAAAATGTGAAAAGGGAGGGGAGCGGGGCATGAACAATCTTCGTTTTTATTAAGAAACAGGAGAATGGTGGAAGGGGGATGAGGGGGCGGGTGGGGGAAGGGGGGTTCACCCTAGTCTGGAAAGGACACAGTTTATTTCGGTTTGTTTTGTTATAATGGGAGAGAAAACGAGAGAGAGAGAGAGAGAGAGAGAGAGAGAGAGAGAGAGAGAGAGAGAGAGAGAGAGAGTTTCTGTAAAATTTAGATCCTGATAATTGAAGCAAATTTAGTGACCATAGGCAAAACAAAAAGCCCAGTAAGACCTGCAACTGCAAACGTTATTCAGCAAAGGTACCAAAAATAACAACAGGGGACACTTTTGAGGTCAGACGAGGGAGCAGAGTGAGCCATCAGTGTAACAGACAGGACATTTAACAAAGCAGGTGTGTTTAGGTGTACTGAAATTATTGTTTGGCCTTGTTTAGAGACTCCAGAGAAGAAAGGTGACAGACAGGAAACCACGCAGACAGATGGGTCTAGATGAAAAATAAAAGGACAAATCGAACGACAGGTCGGGGTCATAGAGCAGAGTTGGCACACACACACAGAGCACAGAGGGAGAGTAAAGCGGTCAAATTATAACTATTTACCGGAGTATTTTATCTCTTATCTATCTACTACATTCTAGAAAGAAAAAGATTATAATAACAATGAAGTTTGTTTATACTTACATCTTCAATCTTGCCCACATATACGTATTTTCCGGTTTTTAAAGAAAATAATATGTGATTTTGATTGTTACTTTTTATTTTAACATTTTGTTTTTTAGAAATGAAAGAAAAGTTCGTTTGACTTTAAACTTGATGTAGCCTACTCAATATAAGACAAAAATTCATTATTTTTTAAATTTTTATTCCTTCAAAAATATAATGAGAATGACTAAATACAAAACGTATAGGAATTTTTCGCAGTCTAAAGGTGGATATCAGGGTTTAATGGAAACAGCTAAATCTAATTGACTGTTTTGTTCACGTGCATCAATGAATGTGTGAGTAATTTAGTCAAGGGCTGAGTGAGTGAGTGAGTGAGTGAGTGAGTGAGTGAGTGAATGAATGAGTGAGTGAGTGAGTGGGTGAGTGAGTGAGTGAGTGAGTGAGTGAGTGAGTGAGTGAGTGAGTGAGTGAGTGGGTTAATGAATGAGTGAGTGAGTGAATGGGTGAGTGAGTGAGTGAGTGAGTGAGTGAGTGAGTGAATGAGTGAGTGAGTGAGTGAGTGAGTGAGTGAATGAGTGAGTGAGTGAGTGAGTGAGTGAGTGAATGAGTGAGTGAGTGAGTGAGTAAGTGAGTGAGTGAGTGATTGAGAGAATAAGTGAGCAAGTGAGCGAGTGAGTGAGTAAAGACAAGTGTGTGTGTGTGTGTGTGTGTGTGTGTGTGTGTGTGTGTGTGTGTGTGTGCGCGTGCACGCATGCGTGTGTGCGTGTTATGTCTTTGGCCCAGAACCAGATATTCATTCTTTCATTCAAGATATTTCCAGGCGTATTTTATATCATGCATGCATTTTTATACAGATAAAGGGATAAGGAAAGTTGATAGCACGGTTATCTTTTTAAAAAATTTCTTGCAACTACGAGACGAGAACTGAAAACGAAAGCTCTCAATATTATGGCCTGGTCTCCTTATCTGAGAAACTCATTATTGGTCAATGTTCCCTTTACTGTTTTATTTTGTTCTACACCAAAACTGTGCTTGTGTTTATGTTTACAGACAGACAGACAGACAGACAGACAGACAGACAGACAGACAGACAGACAGACAAACAGACAGACAGACAGACAGACAGACAGACAGACAGACAGACAGAGATTCCAGATCAATCCCTACAGTCAATTCATTCTTTTGTTTCAGCCTCCTAACCGCCTCCTTCAATGACATTTAATTTTGCTGATGCTGATGCCAGCGTCTAATCAATGAGATGAGAGTGTTGTTTTCCTTTCCAAAATACTTTGATGCCCTAGCCTCAATTTCTCAAGATTACCACAGCCTACTGCAATGGCATCGACTTTCTTGAGCACATTACACGACAGTTCGTTGATAGGCACCTGAGGTGTAGGTATAGTGAGGAACATATCGTGAGAGTGATAGTGAAGAGGAAACTTTAGATGAGGATGAACTTGCTCCTCACCCCATTGCCAAAAATAAAATTTCACCAATGAAGAAAGATACAGAAGTAGATAACAAGGACGGACATGTGCTTATTTTATTCTGCCTTTGAGAATCCACCATCAAATAAAGTGCAAGCAAAATTTATAAGGAAGACGGGGTGCAAAAGCTACTGAGGCTGAAACAATATTCACAAAGTCAGCGCAACACTGAGGTTTAGTATACAGGATGCTGTGTGACGGAGATGCCAAATCTCATCTGGTGCTCAGTTTGTATGGCATTTGTGACTTTGAAATTGTAAAAGATGACTACACACATCGCATTAGCAAAAGTATGTTCAACGCCCTTCAGAGCTTCCAAAACACCAAAAACGAAGACCTGAACAGAAAACTCATGAAGATTGAAAAACAAAGCAGTTACAAATACCTCACAAAACCTGGACGTAACAATTAATTACTTGTGTTCATTAGTTTTAATTTTGCTTTTGTTCACGAGCTGTTGGTTTCTTATCGAGCACGAAACCTCTTTTGCGCATGGACCGTGTAAGATTTTGAACACAATTATCTGTCAGTGAGGAACAGAGACCACGAAACTGTCACGGTTTCGGGTGGTCTGGGGTTGAATGAACAAAACCACCCTCGTGAGAATCACCGGATGACTTGGTTTAGTGGACTACATCGCTGAAGTGCTGGAACGTCATGTCTTACCTTTATTTTCGTCAAAGTGTCATTCAAGTAGTCATCCCCATGCTAAACAAGGCATTTTCTCACAGGGCCAATGCCATTAGAGCATTCTTAAAAAACCAAATGAAGTCAACATTCGAGTGGTTACCAGTAAACAGCCCCGATGCGAATCCTACAGGTATATGAAGTGCCATGAAACAGTGGCTGAAGAAAAACGACTTTGCCCCCAATTCAGTCCCTTTGTTTGCAACTCTCTGTGACATTTAAAATGAAATGACAAATGAATATGGCCAAAATTTAATAGAATCGATGCCCAAGGTTTTGTGCACAACACAAAGCCAATGGTTCCTAAGCAAATTAACAATGAACACAATTAGTGTAGAGTCTAGTCCAAGATTTGTGTGGTATTTGTGATTGCTTTGTTTTCCGTTATGTTTGAAACTATCGTGACAACATATCGTAATAAAATATTGTTTATTTCAAAGACAAAATTCTCCATTCACTGGGCAAGCAATATATCGTCTTTCGATCAATATTGATACTCTTCAGTAAATGCGCAAAGACAATTTTACGCTTCTTTGATTTCGCACTATTTTGCCAAGTCTGATTTTTTAAAGGTCAATTTTGAGTGACCATATCTCGAGCGTCTCTTAAAATAGATTAAATATTAATGTGTCAGATGATGAAGAATTTATTTAGCTTTAAATTGATATGCTGCATAAGTGGGTAATGCAAGGCTTTAACACGATGACTGGGTGATTACATTTTCTAATTTCTTTTAGACGCAACTTACAGTAAGTTTTGCGCGTCAAAACTGTAAGGGCTCTTTTCTCAAAATGGGCTCTTTCAAGGGGGGTGGGAACGCAAAAAATCTATCTTTCGAAAAGTTCTTAGGATATCTTCATAATGTTTGGTGTACTGATAGATAAAACATTATTCTAGTGTAATAAGTAGTGAAGTAAAAAAAACCCATCTTGAATAAATTATTTTATTATAAATTTAATCCGTTGTTATGATCTGAGATTTTCCTGGTTAAAGTGTTCCTCTAGTTTGGACCTCGATTCTGAAGAAGTTTGTCCTCCTACATAAAAAATACCAAGTCCATCCACTAAAACAGCCACATAAGGCTGCAAAACCACTTATTGTAATATTTTAGAATCATTTATAACCTTAGGATAGATTTTTTAGAAATGTGTACCTTTTCTATTTATGAGATTCCAATGTGGCAGCCGTTACCATAGCAACACAAAAGAATTTTCAAAATGTTTCTTCATGGCCTAATTCTCCACTCTACTTATAATGATGCTACCACATTTGTAAGCTTAGTTTCTTCTTCTTAACGAATTTGAAAATTTCCCCCGCATCAAGCCTTAATAGTAAAACTTTTTATTACTGGATCTAGAAATCTAGACTTTTAGAAAAAAGAATGTTAAGTAGCTGTTAAGGAGCTTGTGAACGTGAAAAGAAGAAAAATCCCAGAAGAAAAACAACAACAAACAAAAACAACAACAAACAAACAAAACACACACACACACACACACACACACACACACACACACACACACACACACAAAAGGACCCATCAAAAGCGACCAACAGAGCAAGCACTAGTGCTCCAGAGTCAAAATTGATTAGCCTAGTTATTATGGTCCATAAAACACCTTTATGGTTTGATTTGAGAGAAACAAATGAATAAAAATTTTCTTTACTTTTTTTTCAAACTATCCAGTCCTTATACTGTCACTATTAATGAGCACAATTATGCTAATGTGTGTTCTTTCTTAGTTGTTAAGCCACCCAGATGACTTGCCTTCGGCGAATAAACTTTGACTCTACAATAGATATTTGCATTTTATGCGTTGTGGCGCTCGTAAACTTTAAAATGCAGATAGGTTATACAAAAGGTGAGGGTCTTTAGCTACCCTCATTACTTGCTCTCGTATTTGAAACACATCGAAATACAGTGTAAAATTCCAATTTCCAACCACGCCCCCCCCCCCCCCCCCCCCTTTTCCCCCTTCCACACACGACGTACCGGTGCGTTACAATTCCCTTCCATTTTATTTGAATCGTAACGAAGGAGTAGGCCAACGTCGTGACTATTTTATTCCACATTTTGAAAAAATCAAAGCATCAATATGGCGGAGAGGGTTGTAAACGTTGACGTTTACGATAAAGAGTGCAAAGTTTTGTTGAAAGATAAACGGAATTCCAGTGGAAAGTTTTGGACAAGGTAAGATAACTATTTAGTTACTTTCAATTTTATATTAGAGAATCAAAGAAAAGACGAAAGTGATGCTTTCTATTATGCTGATTCAAGTGAGTCAAGGCCTTCTTCACTTAGACTAGGCACTTGGATATCGGCCCGCGCGGCCCGAGATTTTCGTTCACCTGCGGCCGCCGCGTTTTGTGTCAGAAATCGGGCCCCGTGAGGGGGGTACCTATTTGTTTTGTTTCGTTTATAGTGTTCTTTTCAATTTATGGATTACTTCCGCCTATCAAATTAAAGAGGAAAGAAAGGCGCGTATTATGGCGTTTTCCACTTCGGGATCGGTTGTGTGTGTTCGGAGTTACAAGGAGTTAAAAATAAGGTAAGTTCAAGCCTTTATATTTAAAGAGTATATCTTTTTTTTTTTAGGTACTCCTCACAGTCTTTTCTTCAACCTTTTATCTCTTTTATTTGTTAATTTCAATGTTGTACGTTGAGGCATAAGCGTGTGAGCCCTAATTTAAATAGGTCACTCTCCATGAATGGGCATGACCTATTATCGATCGCGCTGCTGAGCGTGAACCGGGAGGTCATGGCGGCCATTGCGGAAAGCGAACTTAACCCACGCTAACGTGTATTGTTGGCGTTTATTACCTCTTAAACGGCATTGAAGAATGTTTTATAGTAGAAGATATGATTCATTTTAAATTTTGGAATGTAATATGTATCACTGTTGTATAATTTTTATGAATTTGCACCATGTAACAATCAGTAAGGAGTCTTGGGTGGGGGGAGGGAAATGTAACAGCCTTGGCCTTGTTTTGTTTCTGTGTTACTGTCACTGTTAGACCATCGATTTCACGCAAGTTTTTACTTCTTTTGTGTGCTTATATTGTCTTTAAATATTTTTTCTTCTTAATTGTTTTTGTGTGTGCTTGTTATTTAAATATCTCTTTAAATTTTCATGTACTTTGTCCAGTTTGTTTTAAGATACATGTTTATTAGAAGATGTTTTTTCTCTTGTCTAGTCATCTACACTCTCCCTTTACTAGAGTTGTAGTGTGAAAATGTCAAATTTCCATCCACTGCTCACAAATGAATTTATTTACTTCATTGATGAATTCATTGCTTTGCTTTTTTTTTTCTTTCCACAGCCCCTGATCACAACCTGCCACTGTTCCATTGGATTTATTGACAGCTCACCAGAATAAATCCTGACTTTAATTAAAATCCAGAAATGCTTGCGGAGTTGGTCGAATTCACAGAAAAACTTGTTTGAACAAGTTGCAAAAAAATTGAGCACTTAAGAAAGCATTTGTTGCAGACAAGAAAAAAAAAATTGACATTAATTTAACAATATCAAGTTGGCAGACTGGGTGAACTAAACAATTGCCAGAAATAAAGAAAGAATAAATAAGTATTGTGACACAATTGCGTGCTTCAAAAAACATGTCATATTTCACAACTAATTGTCTTTGAAGAAGTTGAACATTTAAATAAACACAATAAAAATATAATGAAAAACTTGCTGAACAAACTGAAGTAATAAAATTAGAAGAGACTATTGTTTAACTTACAGGGCAATCTCATGAGTTAAAGATGTAAAAGAGAAATCAAAGATAAAGACAGAGTAATTGATCATTTACATGACAAATTAAAACATGAAAGAAACATTCTAACAATAACATGCAAAATGAATTTAAAAAACAGTATTATCATGAATTAAGGTAGACTAAAAAACACTAGTTTGCAGCAGCTGTAGACACAAATGTTAACTTTAAAAACTTCTATGCTCATCTTATTTTAGGCGACCAGCTGTTTTGTTAAAATATATTATATTTTTTAATCAGTTTTTTGTTAATTCTACTGATATTTGATATGTAGATGTTCCAAAAGAAAGGCCTTAAAAAGACCTTCAAAATGATACCTCAATTATTGATGTAGCTTAATTTATAAGAAAGTTATGGCAAAATATATTGACCGCAGGACGATGCGGTCACGTTACACAACACAGTGTTACATAATATTACCCAATATTACCCACCACGACATATTTTAAAAATATCGTCTGACTGTTATTTTGTCCTCAATATCACAAGGTTTCAGAAAATGTTTGGTTTTAGCATGTACGCAGCAGCATATTGAAGCAGCTTACATTTCCCTTATTGTCCTTGCTGTTTCGATCACAAAAATTGCCTTTTTTTTCTATATAGATGTTATCCCCTCGAAAAGATCTTTAAAATGCAATATCTCAAAAACGGTTCAACATAGAGCAATAACTAAGGTAGCGTTGGAATCGTGTCACTGAGCTCTTTGCATTGGTATTGTTTTTAAAGCAATTTGAAAGCTTTGAAATTTTTATCCAAGTGCCTACTTAGACTACTTCTTCATTCTCGGTCTCAGCCTCAGCTGGCTTGAACTTGAAGAAGATGCCTTCATCCTTCATAATAATACTAGATCTAGATCTAGATCTAGATCTAGAATCAGTAGGCTACTGTAGATGGATCTAGATCAAGATATCTATAGATCTAGAGACTAGATTCTATATCATGTAGATCTAGAGATCTATATGATATTGATTTGGGAAGTGGCTATTCTCATCCGGGGTGAGAATAGAAAAACGATCTACCTCTCACCCCGGGTGAGACGTGCCAGCGCAGGCTATTCTCACCCGGTGCGAAACAAGACCTGCTTTTCCTCATTTTGGAATACTGTCTATCGGTGTGGATGATCAGATTGATAAAAGCCAAGAAAAAATTACGTTATAGCACAAAAGTAAGCTAATTTGATCGTTTTCAAAGATGCTATGGCTATTTCACTGTTCGAATCGAGCCGAACTACGCGGGTCGCCATTTTGTTTTGCCCGGAAGTTCTCGCAAGATCTACTCCTCCCCCCTCTCTCTCTCTCTCTCTGTCTCTTTCTGAATACTGTCTATCGGTGTGGACGATCAAATTGACCAAAACAAAGTTAAAAAATTATGTTAAAACACAAAAGTAAATTAATTTTGTTGTCTACAAAGATGCTACGGCTATTTAACTTTTCGAATCGAGCCGAACTACGCGGGTCGCCATTTTGTTTTGACCGGAAGTTCTCGTGTTACTCCTCTCTCTGTCTCATTCTCTCTTTCTCTCTCTCTCTCTCTCCACTGCCCACATACAAAATTGTACGCTTTTAGAGGCTAAAGTTATAATGGAACGTTTGTTCACGGCACAGAATTCTACAATTTTTCTGTTATCACAGTGTAGAATTCTGTGGTTTAGGGTGAACGCAAAATTTGTTGGCCTAGATCTAGGCTATAATGGTGAACGCGCACCGGGTGAGAATAGCCAAAAGACTAGCCTGCACTATTCTCATCCCAGGTGAGAATAGAGGTGGCCATTGATTTGATAACTCAACGTGTTGGCTGACTGTGGGGCTGGATTGTACTTACCGGACCACCTGTCTCGGCCCGTGATTACTACTCACACCTAGCCTAACTACGCTCTCATAGTCATAGTACTCTGCGTGCGGACAAAAGGTAGTTCCGCGGGCGACTTCGCGCACGCACAGCGCAAGCCAGTGGCGACTGGCGAGGCGTGGTGAGCGAGAGTTGGTGGTTGAGAGTGGGCAGGGGATTAAAATTTAGGGAGTGTATACAGACCCGGTAACCGGGAACAAAGTCACAAAGTATACAGACCCGGTTGGGGAACTCTTTTGTGGTTTCGGAAAGTTTCAGCGCCCTCTTGGCTCAGGATAGACCTAAGTTCTTCTAGATTTATGGCCTAGGTCTAGATTTAGACAGATGGACATAAAATTCATTGATCAAGTTTCGAGGCTAGCCTAGATTCTAGATCTAGATCTAAATGAAGATTGCTTTTATGTCTTTTAGATGAACGATCGTTTTTCTTCCGTTTTGGAGTTGGGGGAATCACAATTTGCAGAAAACAACAATGTCATCGAGCAGTCACCTTCTCTATTTCTCTGCCCCCCCCTCTCTCTCTCTCTCTCTCTCTCTCTCTCTCTCTCTCTCTCTCTCTCTCTCTCTCTCTCTCTCTCT